ACCCACACACATACAAGAAAGCAGCTAGGAGTGAAATCAGTGCTTATTTATATTTAATCTCCGTTTAGTTACGGTGTATTTATGGACGGGGATAAAAAGTCAGAGTTCATGCTGAACGAACGGTCCAATTTATGACCAAAGGTCCAACAATATTCATCTTTACACAGATTTTTACAAAGAAAATATCCAATGAGTTAATGAGCAGGGTGGTGCAACAAAGTGCAAACTTCCAATGGATAAGACCAGCTTGGGAAGAGATTTGCATCGCTATATGATCAAACCGCTTTTTAATTGGTATATCTGGTAGATAATGGCTACAGTATGTGGAAGGCGCTTTGTTAAAACAGAAAGCCTCACATCGATTGTGTTAGAGAAGTCTAGATTTGGACTCTTCAGCGAGCTAGGGTTGGTCCCTCCTCATGAAATCGTGCTCTTGTAGCTGTCTCTCTCGTCCGTTTCCGCGGCGGCTCCTGAGTGTTGCAGTCTACTGTTGCACCACTTAACCAAACTACATCTTCTGGTGCTCTGAAGCCCGCGTCCTCCAGCCTAAAGGTAGATTTGTTGGGTGCATTATGTTTTAAAAATGGGCAGCACAAAGGAAAAATGTCACCTGTAAGCTGAAATACAGCGGTAATAAAAGAACACTTCACAGCACTCACGTTTGAAATGTCGGATCCAAACTTAGTGCTTCTGAAAAGACCACAGCTGCAGACCGCTGCGATGTGAGGCTGACATGTGCTGCAAGGAGCGGGATTTTAGGCTTACCGGGTTGGAAGTGTCATAATTTAGATGATTATGGGATTCTTTTAAACAAAAACTGGACTGCTTGATGTAGAGGTGTTAAAAACTTATTTAACTAAATTGAATTTTCTGTAATAACAGAGCAAGTGGTCATTGAAGTCTTTGTGTTTGAAACCAAACCTCTAAAAACGACACCTGTACCGATGCATGAGGCAAACGAAGATGGCATAGAGTTTAAAAACAAGGAATAAAAGGGAATAAATTGGTTTTTCAGCCCATGAGTGTTCTGACATGATTCCTCGCTCTGTGGGAGCGCGTTTCAGTGAAAACCGCTCAATTACTGTCCAGCCTAATTACCGTTTATTATTACCAACCAGCTGAAAAGGAAAAGAGGCTGACACTTAAGGAAACTTGATTTTCTTCAAAAAAAAAAAAACCAACATTTGAAGAGTTTAACAGATTTTTTTTTAATAAATTTGCTGAATTAGGGCAAACAAAGTAGGTGAAACAAAAACCAATTTAGCTAGAAATTTTCATTAGTCATTAAATTTTGTCCCATTTTCATTGGTAGTGAGCTCTATTTCCTGGTAGATTCAGATGACTGGGAGAGACCAATAAATCAGATTGGCACTTTGAAGTGAATCCCAGTCAGAATCTGAGTCCGCGGTGGTGCTTTTTCAGTTGTTTGGGTCAGTATGAGCGGCACGCATGGTGCTGACGAGCATCGTCATCAGGGTGAAGACATACACGCCGAAATTCTTCTCACTCCCCGGGGAAATGTGTTTGCATAGGTTGGTGTAGTATGTATGTTGGTATGTGTTTAAAGAAGAGCGGGCACACACACACACACATTCCAGAGTCACGGTCAAATGACTTGTCTTTCACACGGCCCATTCCCTAAAGCTGTCCCTCCTTCCCAAACTGACAGCATATGGAAAACCTGCTCAAACGAGTCCAAACATCAATTACATCAACGCATTCTCGCCTCGCTCGCCCCTTCACTTCGGCTCGTCTTGCTTTGCGACGTCTCCATTAATCATTTCTTCTTTGGCCGTCTTTTCCATCTGGTCACTCCAAACTTGTCTCGGGTTCGTCCAGTCTTACGTCCGTTCTGTTTGGAATTTCAGTCTGAGTAAATAAAAAAAATTCTTCACAGGCCGTCTTTCTCGTGGAGGAAAGCCTCCAAATTAGCCAAGCCCAAAAAGTCTCCCTGTCGTTTACATGTATAATTTTATTCTATGGATATTTTATAAAATATTGACATCAACAGTGAAATTTAGCTATTCCGGTGCATCCAGGGACTAAATTTATACTTCAGCTGAACAAACCACATTTAGGGTTCATTTTTTGTTCACAATTTTGTTCAAATAAAACTTCAGCACAATATTCTCGGTGTGCAGTAACATTTATAAACTCAACAGAATCCAAGGATGAAAACTACAGGTAAGAATTGCTTTGATGTATGTAGAGCTGCAACTAACGATTATTTTCATAATCGATTAATCTGTCGATTATTTTTTTCGATTAATCGATTAATCGGTTTCATCATGTATGTATTAACAAGAAACATTCACAGAGTTTTCCTCCGCATTGCTGTACCAAGGTGGGCCTTGTCCTTGCAAGCTGGTTTATTCTTGTGCTAGCTGTTAGCTCAGCGATCTTTAGGTATATGAACTCTTTCTCCAAACAACGGCTGTTCAGAAAGCTGAATACAGTTGATTTCCATCGCTTTCACTCATGTTTTAAATGGTCAACATTTGCCTTTAGGCCAGCAGCTGTCATTCAGCTTGAAGAATCCATCAAACAAGTCTTTGATTAATCGAGTCATTGGATGTAAAAATGTATGACCACAACAGAAGTCTCCCAACAGAGATGTATTATATTTTTTATATTTCTTAAGATATTTTTGGTCTCATATGCTGGAACTATAAAGGTGCAACACTTGCACATTAATGTAGCGCCCTGTTTAATGTATTTTCCAGCTCTATTTGCACATAAAAAATGTTTATATTTAAAATGCATCGGTTTACACAATGCCTCGTTGCCTTTTCTGTTTTGCAGTTGTAGTTTTGTATAGTTCTGTAAAACTCAGCCTTTCAAAGGCAGCCCTGCACAGATTAGTGCTTCTAAGTCTGACTTAAATATTTTATATTTGTTTGCATAACTGGCTTTGAATCTTTAAACAGCCTCTGTGAGCTTTGGCTTGCCAAAAAATGATGTAAGTCATAAATTCCTTCATCTAAGGATGTAACTGGCCTTTGCACACATCATTGACTCATGTTTAATTTTCTGGACTCTCGGGTTTAATAATGGAATATATCCAAGTCTACTTTCATCAAATGAAACTTGTTTAGGTTTAAGCCACATGAACAGTTCAAAGACTTGTCCATAAGTTTCATTCCCCCAGAACCTCCACCGCCACTTAGCAAGGCTCTTAATGATAACAATTAGGTCCTAAATGTACATTTTTGTTGCAAAAAAGACATTTAATTTATTTGTGGCCATGTTTCTCTTTTTAATCATTTTTAAAGATTGAATCTATAAGCAGCATACTTGATTTAGCATTCTTTATTTGTCTTAGATTTTAGTTTTCAGTCCTGTGCAAAAAAACTAAAATGTAAATAATTTAGTTAGATTATACTTTCCAAATATGCTTTATTCTGTGGTAAATTAAGCTTTAATTATAAAATATTTAAGTTTTTTTTTAAGTTGGCTTGAGTAAAGATGGCAGAACGAGGGCAACACACATTGATGTCTGTGACGTACATCAAAAAATACACCTTCCCTATTTTTAGTTTTACCTCCACTAACTTTGTAGAGTAGGAGTCGTTGTTCATGATTTTGTTTTCAACCATTAATCAAATTTCCTGTTTGGACATTATAGGCTTCTGTAGCCGGTCTGCGCTCCCTTTATAGCAGTGCTCATCCATCAGGAAGACAACTTGGTTTATTTACTTGATGTCTACATGTGCTTTAAATTTGTTATCCGACGGCACCATCTAGAAGCTGATAAATGTATCGCATCGTGAGCCGTTGTAGGAAATTAAATCAGCAGATGTTGCCAAACAATCAATGTTTGAAAAAGTGAAAAAGTTGCTGGTGAAACAGAATTGAAAAAAAAGAACATAAGCAGCGTTGACGCGGCTTTAAAGTCGCCATTTTAAACTCTGATTAAGTTAAAGCGTACTTTGACAGAATGAAACTTGTTATTAATATCTGTGGATGCTTTTGGCGCGGATAAATGGCGTCACTCACTGCCGATGTCGCGGGGGGTATGCTGACGTCTTAGCAAAGTCCTGTAAAGGGCTGATTTTGTATGGAGACTCAACGATGCCCTCTCCTCCTACGCATCCTAACGACCCAAATCTTTTCTGCTTCCTCTGACCGTCAAACTTCCATCAGCTAGAAAGCACAGACACGACCGCTCCTTATTGGTCCACCTAAATTAAACCAGTCCATTAAGATCCGTCAGTTAGTTTGCAGTTCCCAGGAATTATAGCACATCATAACATGCAGCATTCCGGTACGGGATTACGCGCACTGATTTTTCCTCTTTTGGCCTCGTGTTTAAACACTTAATGAGGTTAGTTTTCACTTCTGTTCTCTCGTTTTTCTCAATTCTCATCAGAAATTCACCACGTATGCTGTTCAGTGGGCTGATATTTGGTCTTAAGTGCGAGTGAGTGTGTGTGTGTGTGTGTGTGTTATGGTGAGACCTTGACCTTGACTGCGGTCCCTAATGGAGGAGGCTGTTCTGTGAATGACAAACTCCCCACACCGAGCAGCGGCATGTAACAGCTCATAAAGCATGCTTACGTCCCGCTCTGATTTCAGGGAGTGGAAGCCCGACCCCGCCCCTTCCTCTCGCTCTGAAATAGCCACGTCCTTGTCGTCCCCCCACACACACACACACACGGATCACAGTTTTGTATATATGCAGCCGCGGTTGATTGAGGAGCAGATTGCTGGTGACAGGTCACACTGCGTTCCGTCACTCCGACCCCTCAGATTAGCGACCCGAGCTGCCCCCCCCCCCCCCACTCTTTTCCCTGAGTGTCCACCTGTTGGGATCACTCACATTCACACACACACACACACACACACACACACACACACACACACACACACACACACACACACACACACGATAAATAACACACAAGCGTAATATTTAATCATTGTTTGTTTGTCCCCGAGTGATTTGTTTGTTTACTCGGCATGTGTATGTGCTGCTCATACTGTTTTGTCTCCTTCCTCAGATTCTGATGCACACTAAAGACATGGTTCAGAAGGTGAGTCGTTATTATTAAGGTGTTGTTCTGTTGAGATTAATTACCGTCCACAGATGTAACACAAGACACGTCGTTATAAATACCCCAGGAGAATATGGCGTGTTGCTGAAACCATTGTTGGTCACACTGCACTGCTAATCGTTGTGCGTCTTTTGTTTTGCCGTCATAATAAAGCATCTTATGTCTGTAGAAAACAGCACATTCAGACTAGAAATAACCCTGAAAGGACTGCGTCTCCATACTAGAGTGATGTTGAGGAATGATGGAGTTAGAGTTGTTCCGGTCCAACTTTAAAGCAGGTGCGTTATCCGGAAGAGCTTGGGCGATCCGTCTTCACTTGCAGGATGTGTTGTGAGTGATCCCCAGCTTCTACGACAACAAATCACAGCTCAGTATCTGTACGTTTGACTGAGTTGTAGCCACTTTGTGGTTGCTCATGTTGGTTAGCTGTGGAAGCCATCTTGAATTTGATTGGCTCCAAGATTTTATCACCTGTAGAGGTTTGTCCAGTGACGATTTTCTCTAAATGTAATTAAAATCTAGATTTTGGTTCATGAGATGTTTGAGTTACACAATCACTTGGATGAGACCTCGATCAGCTTTCAGGGAACCTCTGCCCTACTCAAAACCAGCAGTGTGTGTTCGTGGGGGTATTCCCGTTGGAGCCTGTAGGCATCGTCACTGACCTTGACACCATACTCGATGCATTTCGCAATCTGGGTGCAGACAGCTCTTCGAGGAGTTCCAGACTCTTGTGTCTGTGATCATTTCGGCACCTTTGGTTCAGAAGGAGCACATGTGGTGAAATTAGCTACGGGTGAAGCAAGTGGCTGTAGAGTTGGGGAAACCTCACGTTCCGATCACGTTTCTGTGAGAAAAGCTTTCCGAAGCGGTGCACAAGTCTCTTCCGTAGGAGCAGACCTTAAACGTCACAACAAAGTTGAACAAATCAAAAGAGGTCCTTGTATCTCTTATGAGTCCCTTATGTTGGTTATTGTCATCAAGTATCCTCTCCATTTAAGCATTTCGATCATTGTCCTATGTTCCTACTCATGAGCTTCCTGCCTATTCCTATATTATCGTATTACTTCATTAGCCTGACGGGCCATCCTATAAATGTAAATATATAGTCTGGCCACGAACCGTTAGCAGAGCTCAGTTGTGGGCGAAATCTACGGTTGTCTTTCAAACTGTCTCTGCACGCAGCTCAACAATGCTAGTACCAATCAGAGCAATGCGACATATTCATGGCAACGCCAGTCGGGCAGCGGGACAGTCCACCATACACGGTCGAAGAAAAACCTATCTGTTCAAGTCTAAGCTGTCCAAAGTCACGGAGCCACCGCCATCGTCGCTGCTCTACTCTGGCGTAATGGCGCCAGTGTCTCTCTACAAACATAGAGCGCTGTGATTGGCCCAGCATAAACATAGCTGAGCCTACGGTAGACCTGCTGAGGCTACAATGGAGCGTGGCTAGACCGACCTATAGAGCAAAGACTTTTGCTGATGCTATCTAGATTTCTATGCTAGCATTTGATGGTAGAAGTCAAATGAGTGCTTCACCAGTAAAGTATGTCTTTTGTGTGTAACTCAGATGAATTTAGAGGTTATTTATGGAGACACCGACTCCATCATGATCAACACCAACAGCAAGTCTCTGGAGGAAGTCTTCAAACTGGGAAACAAGGTTGGTTTTAACGCAGGTGTGGGAAAACACCTTTCCTTTTTGGTTTATGACGTTGACGGCTTTTTATTTTTTAGGTAAAAGCAGAAGTGAACAAGCTGTACAAACTCCTAGAGATAGACATCGATGGCGTCTTCAAGTCGCTTTTACTGCTGAAGAAGAAGAAGTACGCAGCGCTGGTGGTGGAGCATCACGGCGAGGGACGGTACAGCGTGAAGCAGGAGCTGAAGGGCTTGGACATTGTCCGCAGGGACTGGTGTGAGCTGGCTAAGCAATGCGGCAAGTATGTGGAAAAAAATGACGAAATCGTTGATGTAGGGTTTTATTCTGAAGGAAGTCCACAAATGTACTCGTGTTCAAAATGGTAGTTTAACTTATTTGTCACTTGTTTGGCTAAGATTTAAACAAATTTTCTGCAAAGCAGCACAAAAAACACCTGAGAAAATCTCTAGCAGAGTAAAAAAGAACTATTACCACAGGAATCCTCGCAGATCTGTCGGCGAATCTTCTAAACGAACACAGTTTGTGTCTCAGGGATGTTTTGTAATATTTTCTAGAAATATACAACAATTTGTTCTAATAAGAAAGTAATTTGTGAGATAGTTATCCTGGGGAATGAAAAGATGCCCTCTCTTCGTCCTGTAGCTACGTGATCGGCCAGATCTTGTCGGATCAGAGTCGAGACGTCATAGTTGAGAACATCCAGAAACACCTGATCGAGGTGGGAGAGAAGGTGGCCAGTGGAGACGTACCACTCAGCCTGTATGAGATCCACAAGGTGAGAGCGTGGCTGAGAGCTTTTTATGATCTCTGTCCGCTCGTCGTTGTTCATCTTGGTGTCTCCTCCTCTTCAGGCACTGACAAAAGACCCCCAGGACTACCCAGACAAGAAGAGCCTACCTCACGTCCACGTAGCTCTGTGGATAAACTCTCAGGGGGGTCACCGGGTCAAAGCTGGGGATACCGTCTCATACCTCATCTGCAAGGTTCATAAACACAAGACATTAGCATCCTTTATTAATCCTTCTGTTTCTGACGAGTGGGTTCTGCTGTGTTGAAGGACGGCTCCACGTTGGCGGCCGGTCAGAGAGCCTACGCCTTGGAGCAGCTCCAGAAGCAGGAGAGGGTCTCAGTGTGGACACACAGTACTACCTGGCCCAGCAGGTCCACCCGGTAGTTTCCCGCATCTGTGACCCCAATTGAGGGATTGACAGTGTTCTGATCGCCACGTGGCTCGGTAGGCCGCAGAAGATGGGTGTGGGTTTGAAAGGGAAAACAGAAACGGGACTGAAAGTGAGCGTTTTGTTTCAGGTCTGGACCCGAGTCACTTCCGATCCCAGCAGCAGTATCACAGGGAGGAGGAGGCGGACAGGACGCTGGGAGGTCCAGTTCAGCTCACCGACGAGGAGCGGTATAAGGACTGTGAGCGGTTTACGTTCACCTGCCCTCAGTGTGGCACGGACAACGTCTACGACAGCGTCTTCGAAGGACTAGTGAGTAACCTTGTTCAGCGGAACCGATGTGGAGACGGGCGGTTTGGTGGGGTTCTACCTCAGATTCGTTTTTAGTTTATGAACCCTCTGGTGTTACAACTCCAGACGATCATCTTTCAGTCCTCTCTCCTAACACGAGAGCTGCTTTTGAAGTGGCATCGGAACCTTTTTATTTCCGCTGCGACAGCAGATCCTCGCCGTGGCGTAGAGTGAGCTCCGTGTGCTTCTGCAGAGACGCAGAGAAAGAAGCACCTGGATCCGGCATTCCTGAAGGCATTTGTGTAAAACTTCCTGTGAAGGACTCTCGCTTTAGTCATCCTCCATATTGTGTCTCTGTCAGTATTTTTAGACAGCTGCCTGGCTCCAAAACCGACTCTGTTTTCATTGGCATAGTTGGGACTCCACGACTTGAAAATCCTTTCCTTAACCCTGCTGCTCTGTGGACACACACACACACACACACACGCACGCACGCACGCACGCACGCACGCACGCACACACACACACACACACACACACACACACACACACACACACACACACACACACACGTCTCCTACCATTTGTCAGGCCAAGGTCTGGTGTTGGGAGTGTTATCTGTCTCTAATGAGGAGCAGCGTTTGCAGCAGCTTCTCGTCTGGAACACACTAATAAAACTGACAAGCCGCCGTCCTCAGACGGAGGAAAGACCTCGCATTAAATTAAAACACAATTTTTACACACACGCGCGATTAAAGGATAATATGACACTCTTACGCATCATAAAAGGGCTACTATGCACTTTTAACAGTAGAAAACATCATTTCAAGCATTAAATGATCATTAATCGAGCTACGACCCGCTGAGGCCGGTATGCACTCAGGCACGCCGCGGACCGATAAGACGGTAAGTTAATTAAAGCGGTGAACATGGTCTAACAGCTCCGACGAGAGGGGGAGGACAGTCGGGCCTTGACTCCAGCGCTGACACCGAGCCAGAGAAGCTAGGAGGAGGCGGTGATGGACGATGGAGGACAGACAGGGGAGGAAAGTTGTTCAAGCCGGAGAGGAGGGATGAAAAGAGCGTTGGGGAGTTCCACGCGGGCGGATGAAACTGCACGGTTATCAAAGGATGACATGGATGAAAACAGACTGGTTAGACACGAGTATAAACAAGGGCTGGTCTGGGCTTTTTAGGTTGTTTTTTTTTATATAACTGCTCTGCGGTTAAATACCCGACATGTAAGTGGTGTCATTTTTAATTAATACACCAACTTTAGGTGGGAGAGTTGAGTCAAAGTGAAGTGTGGAATGAAAAAGGGAGATAAAGAGGGAGGAGAGCATTTAGGAAAGCTAAAGGAGAGAGAGCGTGTGCAGCTGCCCATTAGAGAAGTCTGATTCCTTCAGGTTTTTATTGTGTTTTTCTCTCCTGAAAGTAGAGTAGTGAGCAAATAACAAAATCCCCCCCCCCCCCCCCCCCCCCCCCCCCCCCGTATGTCACATGCATCGCTTTTCCACCGCTGGCTTCTCTGCAGAAACCTCTTTCTGCAGCAGTCAGGTGGACAGGTAAATGGAGTTCAGGCTCCGAGGGGGCAAGTGTTTAAAATCATCACATTTAGTGTAATTGTTACGTAGCGTGGCTTCCTTTCTTCATTGCATTAACAATAAAACTCGCTGTCAAGTGGACAGTTCAGGGGGGTCACGCTGACCTGGGCTTACAGCCATGTTCAGATTTACTGGCCCCAGGCGGGGGGTTTCAGCTCTTATACCATCAGTGTTTGACGTGCTCTTTTGTGGAGCCTTAAAGTTGATGGACAAGTTTCCGGGTTCACACAGAACCGCTCCTCCTGATTACAGAGCTAAAACGCAGCTGAGGGTTTCCTGTATACACGCTAGGGGTTGCATGTCTTAATTTTTTTTAAAGTCGACAGTCAAGTAATGAAAATTGAGTCGACTTCAACTAGTCGTTGATGACGTCATACACCTGAAGCGGCACGGGGGTGGGGGGGGTGGGGGTTTGCTGGAGTTTTTGACAATGAAAATTGCGCCCACATTTTCTAAGTTAACACATCTCTATTAACAACGGTAGTTTCTGCATCCTACTTCAGCCCTCTCCCCCCTCCCCCTGCGCAGCAGCCACAAACTCACTGATGCGCCTGCAGCCTCTCAGAGTTCCTGCTGCTCTAAACATTAAAATAATTATTTCATTTTCTGTTCCTCACTTCTGATTACCTTCAATGGTGTATGTTTGTTGCAACCACCAGGTACAAACACTAACTTGTTTTTTATTTGACTATTTTTCTGTCCTGCCTGTTTATTATCTTCCTGCATCTCCTCTCAATCCTAAAGAGAAACTGCTACCTGGGTTCATATATATTCACCTTATGAGTTACCTTTGAACTGCAGTTCTAAAAGATCGACCCGACCGCAAAAACGGCGGAGTGCCGCTGCTCGCCGGCCGACTACAACGGGACCGTTTTTTGCTGCGGAGTTCGTGCCGGAGCGGAGATAGTGGAATCTTGGGGGTGCGTCACCGGAGGACAAAACAGGTGATGCGCCTCGCTCTGCAGCAGCGAAACGCATCAGGCACAAATAACAGACAGAAAACATTAAAGGAAATGAGCCGACATGAACGATCGCATGTTTAATTTGTTTTTGAGGTGGTGACACCTGATTTGGCGATGCTCAGGACGCAGATGTCTGGAGCGTGTCAACGATCAGAGCTTTGCATGCGCAAGCCGGTTAAGATTAGGATGGGGGTGAGGGGAAGGTTAAATTGCAAGAGGGAAAAGGTCACAGTTTGGGTTAAATGTCCGTTTTACCGGCACAGCGCGTCGCCTCTGCCTCCCGACGCGCAGGGGCTCGTCACCTGCTGTCTTTTCCGAGGACTGCATCTTGTCAGTCATTATCACGTGACAGCGACTAGTTGATGACGGGCATAAAAAGTCACTACAGAGCCGTGAACTAGTTCATACAACCCTAAATACACGCTCGGTATTTATGAGAGAGAGAGAGAGAGAGAGAGAGAGAGAGAGAGAGAGAGAGAGAGAGAGAGAGAGGAGAGAGAGAGAGAGAGAGAGAGAGAGAGAGGAGAGAGAGAGAGAGAGAGAGAGAGAGAGAGAGAGAGAGAGAGAGAGAGAGAGAGAGAGAGAGAGAGAGAGAAGAGAGAGAGAGAGAGAGAGAGAGAGAGAGAGAGAGAGAGAGAGAGAGAGAGAGAGAGAGAGAGAGAGAGAGAGAGAGAGAGAGAGAGAGAGAGAGAGAGAGAGAGAGAGAGAGAGAGAGAGAGAGAGAGAGAGAGAGAGAGAGAGAGAGAGAGAGAGAGAGAGAGAGAGAGAGAGAGAGAGAGAGAGAGAGAGAGAGAGAGAGGAGAGAGAGAGAGAGAGAGAGAGAGAGAGAGAGATTATAGTCATTGCATGACCTCTACAGTCATCGTCCAACCTGGATAAAACAAGACGTCAACACGAAGAAGCTGTTTAATGCACCAATTATGGGACTAATCTACGATTAAAAAAAAAAAAAACACCAAAACTCTGGCAGAATATTAACTAGACGGGTGTGTTTTGTTTCAGGGTGACAGAGTGGAGCCCAGCTTGACGCGCTGCCGTCACATCCCCTGTGGGAGTCGACCAATCGACTACGTCGTCAACATCAGCAACAGGCTGCTTCTGGATATCCGCCGGCACGTCAAAAAATACTACTCTGTGAGTGATTAGCAAAATGCTTCGTTAGCTGGGCTGCGTGTTTGCAAGTTTGAGTCCCAGCTTTAGCTTTTCTGCATGGAGTTAGCTCAGTTGTCCTCACTCCTGGGCCTGTAGAGCTGGTATCCAGCATGTTTTCCTTGTTTCTCTGCTCCAATACACCTAATTCGGTGGTTGAATCACCTGTTCAACAGGCCATCAGGTGCTTCAGAAGCCTGTTAATCATTTGTTGATTGAAATCAGGTGTGTTGAAGCAGAGTTAAAGCTAAAACAAGCTGTATACCAGCTCTCCAGGACCAGTAGTGAGGACCGCTGAGAGCATCATCATCATCATCATTTAAAAGGGACATGTGATCCAAAAATTGCATTTTGCACTGCCACATGGGTCTCTACTGCCTCTGTAAACACTTTAAATGTGAAAATCTCTTCCGTTAGTGTTTGGTTTTAGGAATTATAAGCCTAAACAAATTTCTAAAAGGTCCCCATTTGTGATGTCACAAACAGGGAAGTCTTGCATGTAAG